AAAAAAATAAAAAAAAAAAAAAAAAAAAAGGAGAGAGATAAACACTTTTTATTTATTTTTCTCTCTATAAAGATCGTGCAGCAGTCCGGAGACATAGGCAAGATTGGCCGAACTCCCGTTATCCAAATTGTGGGTGTGTTATTATTTTCTTTTGCTTCCCTCATCATTTTCTTTTGCTCCCTCATCTGACTTATCGGGGATTTTGCGTAATTTTTCCCCAATAACTGGTATCAGAGCTGATGCCCAACAATTGGTATCAGAGCCGAAGGTTTCGGCAGGTCCAGCCGGTCAGATAGCGGTACCGTATCCGTGGATATACTTTGAAAATAAATATACCACGACAACGAGAAAATTACGACGAGTCTATTAGTGTTGTCCCCTCGGAAAGTCGTTGCAGAATCGACTTAGTGATGAATAGTAAAATAGCAACTCTTGGTGGTGAACAGTACTATTGGGTTGCTAAACCCGTTACTATTCACGTGTACGGTTACTATTCACGTGTATAGTAACTATCATGTATACTGGTACTATTCACGGAGTCAGACTCGAGTGGGAGCAATGGCCGCAGATGAAGGAAAGTCGAAAGTTGAAAAATTCGACGGTGCAGATAGTGGATTATCTGTATCATAAAGGTCTTTTCAAACCTCTCTCCAGAACGAAGCGAGAGGCTATGAAGGAAGAAGATTGGAATCTTCTAGACAGACAAGCACTCGGGGTTATTCGTTTAAACGCTCTCCCGTAATGCCGCCTTCAACATAGCAAAAGAAAAGACTAGACAATAGACATAACACGGTGGCCAGCGACTCAGAGCAGAGTAGGCTAGTGTTTGTATAGGTGGACAATATCTGAGAAAGTCCAGTCGCCAGCGACTCAGAGCAGAGTGGGCCAGTGTTTGCAGAGGTGGACGATATCTCAGAAAGTCCAGTGGCCAGCGACTCAGAGTAGAGTCGGCCAGTGTTTGCAGAGGTGGATGATATCTGAGGTGGATGATATCTCAGAAATTCCAATTACCAACGACTCAGAGCAGAGTGGGCCAGTGTTTGCAGAGGTGGACGATATATCAGAAAGTCCAGTGGCCAGCGACTCAGAGCAAAGTGGGTCAGTGTCTGCAGAGGTGGACAAGAGACCTAACACAATTGCCAGCGACTCAGAGCAGAGTGGGCAAGTGTTTGCAGAGGTGGACGACAGACATAACACGATTGCCAGCAACTCAAAGCAGAGTGGGCCAGTGTTTGAAGAGGTGGACGATATCTCAGAAAGTCCAGTTGCCAGTGACTCAGAGCAGAGTGGGCAAGTGTTTGCAAAGGTGGACGATATCTCAGAGATATACATGGAGCAGTCAGAGGGTTTCGTAGTAAAAGACGATTGTGTTTGCAAACTGAAGAAGAGCTTATACGGCTTGAAGCAGGCACTGAGACAGTGGTACAAGAAGTTTGAGTCTGTTATGGGGGAGCATGGCGGGAGCATGGCTACAGAAAGACCCCTACTCTTCCAGATCACTGTGGTTTCTCATAAAAGAAATTCTCTAAACGATGACGTACATTAATTTGCTCTATGTGGTTTGAATATGTTGATTGTTGGTCAAGACTTAACTAGCTTGACCAGAAACAGCTTTAAGTAAGTCTTTGCTACATGAAAGACTAACTATGGACCAACAGAACACTGAGCAGATTCTTCAGCAATGCAGGTGAAGGGATTATAAGGAATCGAAGAGCCAAGAAATTATGGTTGTCACAGGAGAGAGTCATTGAGAAAGTACTTCAAAGGTCTTCAGATGGAGAACCGCAAACAGCGGTTAGTTCTCCTCTTACTATCACTTTAAATTAAGTTCTAAATAGTGGTCCTTCTCTCGGATGGAAGAGAAGGAAGAAAAGGACAAGTAATCCATATGCTTCAAGTCAGTTGGAAGCTTGATGTTATGCCATGTTTGTACACAGCCAGATATTGCTCACTCAGCTTGGAGTTAGTGAGTCAGTTTATTTCAAAAATCTTTTAAAGGAACATTAGACTGCAGTGAAATGGATTTTCAGGATATCCAATCACATTTGCAGGGGAGCCATGTCGTGGCAGTCAAGATTACTGAAGTGTGCAAGGAGTTGCTGTGGATGAAGAAATTCTTGATTGAACTCGAAATTCATCAAGAATGGTATCAGATATTTTGTGACAGTCGCACTATTGGTTAGCTGCAGAGATGATGGAGAGTATGGATAATGTCCCCACTTGAGTGTGCAGGGGGAGATTTGTTGTACGGTGCCCACTCAAGTGGGACCCACAATAAATTTGAAAGAAAGATAAAGGAAGTCAAAAATGGAAGGCAATGGAGTTGTACACGGCATTCCTACGCGTTAACCTGCCTATAAATAGAGGCAAAGGCAGCACACAAATATACACACAAACACAACAAAATGTAGATCAGGAAATGAGAGAGCAATTGTAAGAGAGAAAAATAGAGAGATTATCAAAGAGGAAAAATTAAGCCTAATTTTCGGGTATTCTTGCATATAGGGTTGTGAGTGTATGTAAACACTTTATTTATTTTTCTCCTATAAAAAATCTGCAGTAGTCCGGAGAGGCGGACAAGATTGGCCAAACTCCGTTATCAAATTGTGTGTGTTATTATTTTCTTTTGCTCCCTCATCTGACTTATCGGGGATTTTGCATAATTTTTGCCCAACAACTGGTATCAGAGCTGATGCCCAACACAATTTTGATGTTTATGGTATTTGTTATTTTGGCTTTTCAAATGGAAAGCCAAAACGAGTTTTATTAATACGATCTGTAAATTTTATTGTTGTTATACTATTTGTTTGGACATTATTCTTAATTATAGCAAATGAAAAAGAAACTAACAATTTACAATTGTTCTTTTTTATTCTTTGTTTTAGAAGATTGTGGCTTTACTATAATGAAAAAAATAATGGAAATATACGTCCTTTCAGTCATTTGCTTCTCAACTACGTTTCTACTTCTGTATTTCTGCATATAAGAAAAAGAAAAAGAATAATGAAAATGAACAGGAAGAGTAAAGTGAAAAATGGTCTTACGAGAAGTCATGGAAGAAGAGATAGTTGAACTCAATGCCAAAGAAGAAGTAAAATCTGTTATGGAAGAAGCAATTAGTGAACTCACTATCAAAGATGAAGAAACAGGTATGGATTCTTTCTCGCAAAAAGAGTTGCCTGACATAGATGAGAAAGAAGGGGGAAAATCTTAAAATGATAAAGAAATGAAAGTCTAATTTCATATATAGAAGTTAGTTTGTTTATGATTTTGGACTTTTGATGCTGAGAAAGAAGGGGGAAAATCTTAAAATGATAAAGAAATGAAAGTCTAATTTCATATATAGAAGTTAGTTTGTTTATGATTTTGGACTTTTGATGCTTAATCAACAGAAATAGTAAGAGAATTAAGGGACCTTCCACTAGCTAATTACCTGTTGAAGATCGAAAATTTCTCCCAACTTGCTAATGCAAATGTAGAAAACTATCGACCAAGTGTTTTCAAAGTTGGCGGATACATATGGTGGGTTCTAATTTTAATTCTATTCTTTTCAATTTTTAGTTTTTCAAATTTATTTATTTATGATAGATTGGGACATTCATTTATTTATTTATTGCTTTTGGGCAATTGGGTCTCAAACTGCAGTTCAAACTTCTAATCTCACAATTTTGGAGACAAATTGAGTATTTAATTTCTAATTGTTGTTGTTTTTCACCTACATGTTTTGATGCAGGAGACTTTCTCTTTATCCTAAAGGAAACAAGAAAATATCTGAAGAGAAATACATATCTGTATATTTTGAACTATGGAGTCCAAATGCATAACCTTTACATAAGGAGGTTAATATATGCTTCAACTTGTTTGTTTCTTTATAATCAAATCCAGTATAAGTATTTGGCTGTTCGAGGTACTGGATTACTAGTTCAGTTTTTATATATAGTTTTTTGTGATTCAACTGTTTGTGTGAATCAATTTGCTGAATTTTCTTTATGAATTGATCTTTTGGGTAGACGGTAAGGAGAGGATAAGGCATTTTCGTGGAACAAAAAGAGAATGGGGTTTTGACCAATTGTTTCGCTCAATGCTCTTTATAAGAATAAGAATAAGAAAAAATTTCAAATTTTCTTAGAAAAAAGAAAAATAGAATGCTGAACAAAGAGAAATTCTAGGACAACCAGCGAAAGAAGAAGAGATTAAACTCTAGAATAACCAGCAAATTTTCTCACCAATAAATTTTCTCAAGAAACACCTATTAGATCGAGGAAAGAGAAGAGCAATGAGAGATAAAGTGTTTCTAGAAAGAAAAGAATGAGAAACCCAAAGTCACGCTATGATACCGTGAAAGAGACTGTTTGGGAAAAATGAAAGTCTGATTTCATTAAAAGGACCTGTACAGTAAAGCTATAATACACAAATGATATATTTACAATTATATTTGACAACTAATGTAATAAAGTGTTGGATGAGGTGATAAGTGATTTCAATCCTGTAAGGATGAAAATACAAGTTTCATCTCCGAGAAACACACTTTATTGAAAGGGTAAAAAATTTTTACGCTCTACGGTTCAAGGAGATTACACCTCTATTTATTTAAAAAAAAAAATAATTGCAGGGGAACACAACATTTTAATGTAACACAACAACTAAGTAAAAGACAATAAGGTAACATACAAAAGTTAGGATATTTCGTGGACTTGGACACATGTGGAAAGACCTACATTGTTGACCTCAAACTAAGAACCTTCCTCTCAACTCCGTGTGACTGTTCTAATTATTTTTGTATAAATATTATCCCAACAAGTATTTAAAAGCTCGGATTTATGTCAAGCCCACAAGACAGGCTAACATCAACATCGGCATTGACTTGACCGCTTAACTGGACTCCAATGTGGAACATTTGACTCCATATAAATTATAAATATATAGTAATTTTTTATTTTAAAATATCATATTATAGTTCTCGTAATAACTTATTATATTTATTGTTATACACTCAGTTTATTTAAGTTTTTTTTTTTTTTTTATCTTCACATATTAAAGAGAAGAAAAAACAGGTACCTGTTATCCGCTGACAATAAATAAATATTTTAATCGTCAAAATTGAGTTTATTTTAGGAAACTAAAACCAAACTTCAAATTATTTTTCATGAAATTGCAACGTAACTTTTTTTTTTATTTACGAGTTAAACTAAACTAAATTGTATGATCTAATTTAATTTAGATTAGCTTAATAAAATAAATAATTAACTTTTATACGTAAATTTAATTTCTAATTTTTATTTTTTTACAGTCATTTATTTATTTTATACTTTCAACTAATTTAAATGAATATTTATATGAAAAAAATATTTTCAGATTTTTTTAAAAACATAATATTTCTAGTAATTCAATGTGGTATAATCTAATTTAAAATTTATAAATTAATCCTAAATTATCCTGTGAATCGATAAAATGAATAATCTGAATCTATTCTCAATTTCAAATATCTTAATTCAAATTGATTAAAATAATGACCAAAACCTAAATAATCCAATTGGAGCTATATTCATTCAACAAGTTATTTGTGAAATCTAATAATAATCTTCTTCTTTTCATAATACTCATTAGTAGTGAAAAATTAAGAATTTGATCCTGCTCTTAGAACTAAAAAGCATATTCAATATATATATACACACATGCGTGGTTATATGTCCGTTGAAGAAATCTGTGACTTTGACGGTCAAAATAATAATTCACATCCCATAATATGATTCATAGTCCAGACCCATAATACCAATTCTTCATAATTATCAATTATTTAATTAAGCATAAAACAAGCCAATCCATTAAATGAAGAGCCATCAGTTCTCTTCCACGATTGATACCTAAAGCACTATCATTTCTTTCTCTTTTCTTCTTCTTTTTCTTTTTCTTTTTTTTTTTTTTATTTTTTTTGGTGTAGCACTACCATTTCTTTTTAATAAAACAATGCACTATCATCACGTGACAATTTTCATTTATCACTTTTATTGTTTAAGTTAAAATAAAAATAACCAGAGTAGAAGACTTGGTATAAAAAAAGAAAATATGTCCTATCCTACGTAGTTAGATTTTATATTTATAATATTAATGGTAAAGTAGAAAATAATTTCATTCTTGATTACTTATTTAATATGAGAAATTATTAAATAATATAAGTGGATACTTATCTTCTTCTACACATGTTAAACTGGAAAATTTTCTTCTTTGGATAATTCATTATGGATTTATCACATGAGAGAGTCTTCTCTGAATTGTTAATGGGATATCATAATTTATTATAACTAAGTGCGGTTTGATTTAACCGTTCATATAGAGAATAACTGTTATAAATTGAAAGGTAAAGTTGAACTAAAGTGAGAAGGTGAAATATATGGTATGAGCTTACTTGGAGACTACGCTCTGATACCATATCATAAAGTTACAAATTGAAAGGTGATACCATATTACAAATTGAAAGGTAGAGGTACTGAGTTAACCAATGATATGGGCTTACTCGGGTTTCAACCATCTAATAAAATTAATACTAATTAATTAACTCGCTAGCCTGTCACCTTACATGTCATTTGTAGATTTGGTATTTAGTCAATGTGAGATTCTTAACAATAGCGGTCAGTGACCGGTGGCTGATAGCGGTCAGTCAATGAATTTTGGTGTTTAGTAAAATTATAATAGCGGTTACTATTAAAATGTAAAAACATTAACTATTAAGAATGTACATAATTGTTTTTTTATAGATTATGATGTATAATTTATATATATATATATATTTAAATAATATATATATTTATTGTTTAAGGGTATATATATATATATTATATATTTATATATATTAATGTATTATATAAATTAAATATAAATTAAAATTTTAAATAATATCTAATAAAATTTATTATTTTAAATAATTATAATAAATAATCATAAAAATATTAATTTGAAAATTTTATTAATGGTTATTTTTTTGAGGTTAATGAAATCTAAATAAAATAATATTTAAATCAGCTAGCAGTTGATATGGAAAAATTCTAAATGGTAGTTGATGGAATGAGCAGTTGTTTGAAACTTTTATTAGCTACAGATTAGCCGTTGGCTATCAGTTTCATAAATCAGTTGAACCAAACATTATTTAATTGTATAAAATTTATATGGTCAACAATATAATTCTAATAAAAAACCAATTTAGTTGATAGATTTATCATCTGATAAGATTAATCTATAACTTATGTAAATATAAGTTTTTCTTGTAAAGATACATGCTTATGACCATGGACTAAAAAATAATTCACTTTTACATGTAACCTAACTAGTTCTTGTGTTCATTACTAACAATAAATGACAATTTATTAGCAATTAATAAAAAATAAATACTTCATCCGTCCTATTTTATTTACTTGTTATTTCTTTTTTGGATGTCCTAAAATGTTTATAAAGTTTTTAAATTTATGCATGTAAATAATAACCTTTATAATTTTTTATTAAATGAATGACTTTTATTAATATCTTAAAGGTTTCTAAATTTATGCATGTAAATGATAACATTTATGATTCTTCATTAAGTGGAGGACTTTTATTAATATCTTAATGAGTTAAGGGTAAAAAAGAGAAAAATAACTTTTATAGACTAAATCCTTATAATGCGTATTTTACCAAACCATGCAAGTAAAATGGGACGGAGGAATTACTTTTTCGTTCTGCTCAAACTTGTCGATTTTTAACTTTTTATACAAACCAAAAGAAGATTGATTTATCTTGACTCCGCAAAATTTATATTTGAAATTTCCTCAATATCATTTTTACTAGTTTTCTAACACTGTACTATACAATTACAATGGAATTTAATAAATAAGGGTAAAAAGTTAAAAATATAATAATTATAGTAACTTTTTTAAGAATAGTTGGTTGAATTAATTTATATGATTATAATTTTTTTTCCTATTTTTTCATATATACCTTTAAAGACTCTAAGACTATATTAGTAATAATTTCTCGAAACTTTTAAAATAAGATAAATATTTAGTTTATTAACTTTTAAAATTAATTATCTTAAAAGTTTTTCATTATTTAGTAAATTCAATTAATATTAATTTTTTATACGGATTATTATATAAGGGTATTATGTAAAAGTGAAAAAAATCATTTTTAAATATGCAAATGGGACTATTATTTTAAGACATTCAAAATTAAAGTTATAATTTTGAGACTGAATGAGTATAATAGAAAAAAAAATTAAGGGATAAAAAACTAAAATTGTACTCAATATATTAAAATATAATATGAAATTAAATAGTTAATCACACTTTATTTAGATGTGTGGGTTGGAGCCAACTATATGAGTGGTTTCATGCGATGAGCCACTCATTTTTAAAAAATTTCAAAATCCTTAGTGAAGTTTTATGTATTTAAAATTGTAAACCCACTAAAATCTAAATGTGTGAACCACATAATGTTAATTGTGGAGCCCATGTAATTTAGAGTATTTTTGTATAAATATAGGACTTAAATGAAACAAATAAGGACATTGACTAACAAACAAAAAAAGGGATATTTCCTAGACTTGGACAAATATTTAGATACATTTCATCAAACCAACATGTGTATAGATCATGTTAGAATATTTCTTATTTGACCATAATCGAAGAAATTTCTCCCCCTTTTCATTGTTCTATATATATATAATCTCAACACCATTTCAATACCAACAAAAATTCATGAGTTTGATCATTTTACACATTAGAATTCAGAAACTAGAAATTCATCAACATGGGTAAAGACCATGATCTTGTTCTTGAAGCCATAGATTATGATCAAGAAGAAGAAGAAGGAGATGCTTTCTATAATGAGCTCAGAAGGCAAATTTTAGTCTTGACAGAAGATGATGATGATAATGATGAAGATTTTCTTGAAAACAAACATGGAACCTCAAAGAGTGATTCAAGGCAAATCAGCTTGAAGAGATCAATCAATTTTGAAACACAATTATTAGGAAGCTGCTACTCCAGCTGTTGGGAGAGTGATGGAGGAAGTTCAGTCCCACCTTGGCTTGTAAATTTGTGGAGAAATGGTAATGGAGGAACTGGGGTTTTCATTCCTCATATTGTCAAATCTAGAAGAAGACATAAATCAGGTATAAATAGAATGATTTTGTAGTGATTTATGAGTAAATCTTCATTAATTAATCAATTTTAGCACCGATTAATTTTCTTTTCTTGATTGGTTTATTATTATAGGCAAGAAGAACAATGGGAAGAGAAAAATAAACAAGCAAGTTGATGACAAGTATTCTACTTGAGACATAAGTTTACCCAAGTATTCTACATGTATTTAAATAATTTGGATGTATTGTAGAGTCTTGAGGTTGGATTTCAATTTTGTTACATTAGAAGTTTCCGAATTGTATTTTGATCAAATTTTAAATTATATTGTGCATATTTATGGAATTGTTTTTCTTTGTATATGTGATAGAAGGGAAGGAGAATGACTATACTTCCTTGGTTGTAATATATTATTCGTTATTAAATTTTAGTTTGTCATTTTTTAATTAGTAAATTTTTTTATTTTATTTTAATGAGACATCATTCAGTGGAAGCAATAATCAAGAAAAGCAACTTTGATGCTTAAAATAGTTATTTCATTCTAAAAAATTGTTTTCTTTTGATAAACTTATTTGAAACCTACTTATTGTCTTAATTTAAAAAAAAATATATGACCAAATTAAATCATTTCATATGAAACAGAAATATATGGCACACATTATTGATACAAATTTTGAACTGCAAGAGGGAAATTAGCAATATTAATCAATGTTATTGAAATAATAATAATAATTAAAAAAAAAAAAAAAAGAATTAAAAAAAAAAAAAAAAAAAAAAAAAAAAAGTGACTCAATACATAATTCATGACCTCCAAATTACAAACGAAATGACTTTTACTGTTACACCAAAGCTTTTACTAATTTCATTCCAAATTAATCTTTATGTCGTTTTTATTAAGAGAGAGGGATAAACTCAATGAAATTAACCAATCGAAACATTAATGTGCAAGTAGCACTAGAGATTTCCTTTTATCTTTTTACCCTCTAGGCAGTGCTTAACACACTTAATTCTTTCAAATTTTATCTCTTGCACACCACTCCTTGACCATCAATCCCACTTGCACAACTTAAGCTTGGAAACTCAAAACCCTGCATATCTCCATCGAGGCGATTGCCATTGTTGAACTGAGCTACTGCACAATCTGCAGCAAATATGCTTGACGTTTCAAAATCTTTATCGCCTCCTATCACGGGCATCTTAGCTCCTACATTTATACGACTAACATATCCTGGTCTATACGTTTCACCTAGGACACCATTCACTTGATCACTTAAAGAATAGAATTTGAACCCAAGATCAAGATGAGCAAAGCAATCGTCTTTAGTAATACCATAGTTATGAATTCTTGAATCTTCTTCAGTTATTGGCACAACCTTAGCTGTAATTTTGAATTTTCCTTCAACTTCAACTTCAACATTATTAGTGTCACCAATTCTAGTAATGGATAGGCCATTTGCATTTCCAGATTGCCATGTGCTGCCTTCGTTTTGGGGGAGAGTTAGGGGCTGTCCATTGAAGGAAAGCGCGAGGCGGTCGATAGAGTCTTCCCATGTTGCGGTTTTAAGAGCAGCAAGGAAGATTTGGTGTTTGTCGAAGAGGATAGCAATTGATTGAACCCAAGTGAAGTCTCTTGTCATGTTCTCATTTCTCTTGCCAATGAAATGGGCATTGATATGGAGGTTAGGATCGGAAACCAGGCAAAAATCGCGGTCCTTCTTGCCGTGGAAGTAGAAGGTAATGCCATCTCCGCCAATGAAACGTGGGTCTTGGCAAACTGCTCCTGGTCTATCACACTCTGTAAAAATCATCAAATACTAAGTTTTAATATGTAGCAGATATGAATGATGGCCAACATATAGAAGTTTTGTCTGTGCGCCGGAATAACATTTTAGGTAGCGATTAGCGATTTTGACAACGTTAGCTTTTGAAAATTTTTTTTTTTTAACTTAACTGTTAGAAGTTAAAATAGCGTGTAGCTTTTAGCGTTTTGTAAAAAGTTATTAAAACAGTTAATAGTTAAATATTACTAAAACAACTAATTTTATCGAATAACTCTCTAATATTGATGAGATATAATAATGAGTTTCTTGCTAATACTAGTTGAGTGTTACTATTTTATTATATAAATAAATTAGCAACATTCCCGTGCTATGCGCAAAAAAAAAAGTATAGTAAAAAAAGTTGAAAGAAAAAATGAAAAGAAAAAAAAAAAAAAATATTATATAATATATATTAATATATATATATATATATATATATATAATATATATATATAATATATATCTTTAATGAAATTTCTTCATTATACTATTAATATTTAAAGTTATATCAAATAGTAAAAAAAAAGTTAGCTGTGGCTTTTTAATTTATTAGGTAAAATTAGTCTATAGATGTGTTCAGGGAATATGGATTAAAAATTTGAATTTATAGAGATAATAAAAGAAGTAAAATGAAAAAGGATAAAATTCCATTAATTTGATTTGTTTTATGTAAAAAATAATTAACTTGCTATAAAATCCATGAATTATTAATAAATTATTTTAAATAATTAAAATTTGTATAAATCATCAACTTATCATATTATTAATTCTCTAACACTAAAATTAATCAATTATATTTAACATAACTTAATTTAATAAAAAAATATTTTTTAATTTTTTAATATAAAATAATAACTGCTCATATCGTTAAAATTCATAAATTATGTGTCATTAAAATTTATATAAATTGTTACTTAAACTGCTATTAATTCTCTAACATTATATTAATCAATTACATTTAAGACGATTTACTTCGATCAGTAAACAATTATAAATTAATTTATTTTCAAATAAATGTAAAGATAAACGATTAAAGCATTACAAATGTCATCAATTTGGAATCCTACGTGGCAACAATAGGGAAAACTCTATCGATATATATATATATATTTTGATTAGAGGTTCAAACCGTTAACTTCAATTCCTTTTAAATACTTTTTTATATGACTGACATTCAGTTATTTGTAAAATAAAAATTTTTTTTTTTGAAGAAAATCCAAAATTATGGTTAGAGAATTACCTTTATTTTTAATATAACAAAATTAAATTGTATTAGAACTGTGTTAGGTGTTGCAGAGTGTGTGACAACTATAGTTTTCACCTACATAAAATTGTAATTTTTTCCATATTCAAATTCCACAATCATATTTAGGGCCAACTAAACATGTCAAGAGAGACTTACTGCAAACAGGCTTGCAAGTGACACAATCGACTTCACATCCACCAGGGCAAGAACTAGGGCATACATGCTCACTATTGTAACATTGAGGGTAGTACTTGTTTCTGCACTTGGCTGTCTTCCGAGATGGAGGTGGATAAGAGGGTTTAGAATTAGGGGGTGATGGAGAAGAGGGTGTAGTATCAGGAGGGGATGGAGAAGACGGTGTAGGAGTAGGAGGCGATGGAGAAGAGGGCTTAGAAGTAGGAGGAGATGGAGAGGAGGGAGTAGTATCAGGAGGGGAAGGTGAAGAGGGTGTAGAAGTACGAGGTGATGGAGAAGATGGCGTAGAAGTAGGAGGCGATGGAGAAGAGGGCGTAGAAGTAGGAGGTGATGGTGAAGGTGTAGTGTCAGGAGGCGATGGAGAAGAGGGTGTAGTATCAGGAGGGGATGGAGAAGATGGCGTAGGAGTAGGAGGTAATGGAGAAGAGGGCGTAGAAGTAGTAGGTGATGGTGGAGAGGGTGTAGTGTCAGGAGTAGATGGAGAAGATGGCTTAGAAGTAGGAGGCGATGGGGAGGAAGGAGTAGTATTAGGAGGGGATGGTGAAGAGGGTCTAGAAGTAGGAGGTGATGGAGAAGAGGGTGTAGTGGCGATGGAGAAGATGGTGTAACAGTAGGAGGTGATGGTCCTGATGGAGAAGAGGGAGTAGTAGTAGGAGGTGATGGAGAAGAGGGTGTAGTAGTTGGCGATTTGGACTCTGGCGGTGAGTCTGGTGGAGAATCAGAACCATCTTGGGGTGGAGGAGTAGAGCCATTGGTGCAAATAGGTTTGCAAGAAGCACATTCAACGGTGCAGCTATTGGGACAAAATTTAGGGCAAACATGCACAAGATTATAGCAAAGCTTATACTTCTTGATCTTACATGTTGCATGGCTTGGATTATTAGCTATTCCAGGTGGTGTTGCCTCTATAGCAATCACCATTAGGAGAAGAATTATGGATAGAAAGCTGTTTGTGAATTGAGCCATTGAGTAGGTTCTTAATTTGCAAGTTTGAGAGTAATGGATATTGCATGTCATGGCCAATATGTCCTTTTATAGTTGTACAAAGTTCTTGATTAATTGAATGTTTAACTAATAAGTAATCTTTCACATGCATGCTCAAATAATTCAGTCGGCCATAAGGAATTGTTTATTATTTTACTTTTGCTTCTGTTGCTTTTTCAACAGCAAAATGGCGTCACTTAGCCATAAAGAATGAATCGACACTTTCAGAAAATTCTAATATTTTTGGGTCAGCACTTTGCGGTTCAAATCCAAACCGACCAAACTATATATATATTATTATTAAGAAACAAATTAATTCCGGATTTCGGTTTAAGATATTTTGATTTTATTTCTTTATTAAAACTTGAAACTAATTGATTACCACATAAAAAAAAAAAAAAATGCAAATAGCACAAATTGAAAACAAAATAAGAGGACAGCTTATATATCTTTTGAACGGAACCGATCTAAACCAAAGAGAATACTTGCGCACACCCAATGATAAGATAATGCATATACCAAGCCAATTAAAAAGATTTTTTTTAAAAAAATATTCCTATTTTATCATTTTTTTTTTTTAGTGAATTATTAGAAATATATGCGTTTGAACTCAAAAATCATTTTTAATTGGTTTAGTATATGGAGTGAACCTTTATAGGTAAGTCATTCCCCTAAACCAAACCAATAAACACTAAATCAAATGTTGTTTTGCAAACTGTTCATGTTCTTCATTCTTGGCCAAAAAGGAAGGTCCTAGAGAGAAAAGATGCTAAATTACACTTTCAGAAAAGGTCCTAAATTACGTGCCCTAAGAGAAAGATAAGCTATAGCATAATGTCTCCGGTGATGATAAACAAACGTAGCTTGAGGAGAATATTTTAAATCTTCTTCCACTAAACCTCCAGCATGGGGTTTCACGACCAATACAATACAATGCCTTTACACCTATATATGCAATATGGACCAACTCCATAGTGTTTAATTCATAATTCAAACTCTAGTACATACCCAGTCTTTCACATTAATCGAGTTCTAAATAACAAAATATTTCAATAAGAGCAAGCAACCATTGTAATGTTTATAAATTACGGTTAAATACATTTAATTAATTAAATAGAATAGAAATTTATATACTAATAAAATATAAAAATTGAATTATCTCATATCTTTAATTATAAGCATCTCATAATTATTTTAACAAAGAGCATAACCTCTCGAGTTATTCACAAAATACTTAACAAAGACAGATTCAGTCATTGACGTGAAGCCAAGATAATTAGAGAGCTGTAAATATCAATTGATGAGAATACATCTTGCTGGTGATCCTTCAGCACCAACTAACCTAAGAGGCAAACAATGCACATTATACAATCCTGCTTTAACATCGTCAAGTTTTAGGCCCTCCACTAGAATTATTTCCTGATACAATATTTTGACACTGTTAGTTTCTCCTCTAAATCAAAAACCAAAAGGCTGCAAGTCATCATAAGTATTAATGAATGCATGTCTCATGGTAAGATTTTCCTCACCCTGCTTTTAAGGAAAACGAGATGTGTTGGAATTGCCTCAACATATGCAGCAACAGACAAGTAATCCAGTCCTAAATTTAAAAAAAATAAATAAATAAATAATCTGTCAGTTTTAATCTATATATATAAAAAGCACATAGTACTCATAAAGAGCGGCTCAGTTAGCAAGGCACGGTTCTGGAAAGATTAAGAGTTTCATTTGCGAAAAAAGATACTTATAGAAAGAGACAGTCATAAACCCCAAACAAGATTAATTTCATTTCCAAAAAAGGTGTGAGAATATTCACGGAAAATCCAAAAAAAAAAAAAAAAAAAGGTGTGAGAATATTTCGATCGGAAAATCAAATAGTAAAATCCAAAAAAAAAAAAAAACAGAAAAGTGAAATTAATTGATTTAGAAATGAATTTAATATCCCATGAGAAATTCTTTGATGCTGCTAAAAAAAATACCAAAAAAAAAAAAAAAGGTTGTAATAGATACAAAAGAGGATATGTGACCATACCAACAAGTTTAATGTCTGTGTTCTCTACAAGCCATTTTGCCCCATCTTCCATGAACCCAACATAGCTTGTGTCGAACTCCTTTTTTAACATAAGATTCCTGAAAACAAGCCATTTGGTAAGCCGTTAGAAATTCACAATTGGAAAGAACTGAGAAATTTGTTGAAGTAGAACTTAAATGAAATGAGTTCATACAAGTTAATGCGACAAATAGAAACAAAAGAATATATGACAGATGTAAAAGAGGCAGCCTGCTACCCGGCCCAAGCAACTAGTTGGGCTTGGGCTACGCATGTCCAATGAAAAAGAAAAAGTAAAAAAAAAAAAGCCAAAACATACATTTAATTATCGCTAGTCTCAAAAAAGACATGATTTGCATGTTTACTGTGCTCGTTATATATTTGTACACTTTTAATTTCTTTCTTAATCTATATAATATTAAAGCATAAGTATGTGTTTAGATTGAAATAAATATAATTGCTTAATTTGTATTAGACTTTATCGTATAAACTGCTTATAATGCTACTTTTTATTTACTTAATTCTATTTTTTTTTATAATGAAGTAGTTTAAAAATAAAATTCAACCCAATCCTTTAATTCTTAATTTATAAATGCAAATTCTTAAAATCTTAATAAGTGCAAAAAAAGAAAAATCAAGCCATTCAATCTCGAACCTCCTATCCTCAACTCAAAATCTATATATATATACATATCATTCCATATCTCGAACTCCTATCCCTCAAGCTCAAATGCTATATAGTGATAGTAAGCATAATAGTATATATATAATATATATATTATAATTTGAAAATAATAATAAATTATTTTATTGCTAAGGTAAAAAAAAAGATGAAAAGATAATATGAAATTTGATAATTGGTAATACTTTAGCTATCAGTAACATTCATACTAAGGTACTCCGCTATATTTGAGGATAACGGAATAAATTGCAATATACAACGAAATTCAGAAAGCCAAAAATGAGTCAATATCGAAATATATAGTTTTTTTTTTTTTTTTTTGTTTCATAAAAATTATTTTCTTTCAAGTCAAATAGGTTTAAAATATAATAGAAAGAATATCAAGAAAATTAAAAATTTCTAATCATCAAGAGGCCATCTATTCATTGTAAGGGAGATATAAATCTTTTACTAAATTAACATAACAGTAATTACAAATTAATTCAATAACTGAAAAAAAATTTAAAAAAAAAAATTTTATTAAGAATAGAACTATTTTCCGAACTCAATAAATAGTAAAAAAGAAATTATCTTAAAAACTTATCAATTTGAATTTCAAAAATCAACCCCTTCTTTAACTGGAAATGTCATAATTTAATGAAATTTAGTGTTGATAGACAAAAAAAAAAAAAAAAAAAAAAAAAAAAAAAAAAAAAAAAAAAACTATAGCCAATCAATAAAATAAAATTTACAAAACCAAATCATACTCGGATCTAATTTTGTTTTCTTCTATATTTCTAAGTTGCCAAATAAAATAAATTAATTAATTAATAAAAAAAGAATATAAAAGAAAAAACTTCCATCCTCTATAAAATAAGCCACTCAGTTTTTCTTTTATCCATACAGAAAAAGAATAGTATTACTTTTTTTCTTTTTTATCTTCTTTCTTAATAAAATTATTTATGTATATTTAAAATTTTGAAAATTATTTTAAAAATATATTCCAATAAAATCATACAAACATAAAAAAAATATAATAAATATTATTTAAAAATAAATATTTTTTTTCTTTTTTTTATCAAAATAGAATCAAATATTAAAAAAATAAAATATAAAAATTATATATTTAAAAAATAAAATATAAAAATATTCAAATGTCTCATTATCATATGTATGTATTAAAAATAAATTTAAAAAAGATAAAACTTAAAATTTTGAATCCTTAATGATTTATATGTATTTATTTAAAAAATAATTTATATAAATTAAATCCTATCAAATAATACAGTGTAATTTTCTAATTGACTATGACTAAGGTTATTTTAAAATATTTCAAACTTTATTAAGGCGTTATCAAAAATGCCATTATTTCTCCCTATTTTAATATTTATATAGGGTATAGATAGATATAGATAGATATTTAAACGAAAGAAAGCTCCTCGTCCCACACTACTAAACTAATATTAGGAACAACACTTTGCTGAATTAAGTCCAAACTTGTAAGCTAATCCAGTCCTATCTATCTGCTTTAAACAGCAACGTTGAAAAAGCAGAAAAGGAGGAAAATCGAAAATCTAAAAAGTGGTGATTGCTGAACTGAAATTGCAAAAGTAGAGAGCACCGATAGATTAGCCAAAACATGTGCAACTAATTAAAATCTTGAATCTTTAATTATTTATATATGTATTATATTATATAAATTATATCCAATCAAAGAATAAAATATAATTTTTTAACTGACTATAACTAAGGTTGTTTTACGATATCCTAAATTTCATCAACGGTGTTATCAGAAATCTCATTATTTCTCTATATTTTCACATTTATATATTTGTACTAGTTCTTTTTATGACGTCCGAAACACGTTGACTATACTCGTTTTATGCTCATTTTTTATACTTGTTTAGCTTTTTTTTATTATATAATTAAAGTATAAATTCTTATTTATATTACAATAAATATAGTGGTTTTTATATATGTAGTAAAATATTTTTTTTAGTTATATATCTTGCACTGTAATATCTCATTAGAAAAAATTGATATATTTGTTTTTACTTTTATCAAATATGAAATATGCCATTCATATTCTCTTCAACATACTATTTCATATAGCTTTTATTATACACAAGTTGTTTTTGCTTTTATTACAACCGAGTTGTTTTTATTTTTCGTTTGAGTACCAAATTGATTTATAAAAATCATCATATAGCTTTTATTTTACGTTTTATAATTAATTTAAATATTTTATTAATAACTTTCTTTATAATCTCTTTTAGTAAATAAATATACTTAAAATAAATATACTTTAACAATATTAATAAGAAACTAATCAATTAAATTTATGTAAAAAATTTATTAAATAATTAATTATTATAATTATTTTTATTTTTATTTTTTTAACCAATCAAAATCATAAAATCATTTAAAAATTTTATTAATAAAATTATATTCTTTAATAGAAAGAATAAGAGTTGAAGTAATAATATATCAATATAATTAATCAAATTCGTATTGTTCAAAAATAATAATCAAAATCTAGTTTTCAAAAATAAATAATAATCAAAATCAAAATCATACCCTTAATTTACCATACCCTTTTTAAATCAAAATCTTAATTATCTAGATATATTTATTTAAAATAAATTTGAAAAAAATAAAAAAATTTTAAATGCCTCGTACTTACACATATTTATTTAAAATAGTAATATTGAAGATAAATTACAACAATAGTAAATAATAAATAATAAATTATTTAAATTTTATTATTATTTATATAATAAATATATGAAATAAAACACCATTAGACATAATAAATAATAATAGTAAAAATGTGTGTAAAAATTTTCAAATGCTTCATTATTTATATCTATTTATATATTAAGGAAACAATAGTAAAATTTAAAATTTTCAAATGCTTCATTATTTATATCTATTTATATATTAAGAAAAAGTTAAAAAAACATACAATCAAATTATAAAGATATTATATATATTTTATGTTAAAATTTTTTAATTGGCTATAATTAAAATTATTTTAAAATATGTTAAATTTTACAGAAATAATATAAAAATTTTCATTATTTCCGTTCATTTTCACTTTTATATACAGTATGTATCGATATAGATAGATAGAAATACAGATAGATAGATAGTTTAACTGTACCGGAACTAAAAAGATGATGACTACACTCAGTTACTACAAACAAATAAGGATTTACCTGTCAGTGTTCAGCGTTCTGAAAAGCACACGACGCACTCCTTTGGGAATTTTCAAAGACTTCATAACTTCAGCTGTCACAAGAATGATTCAAACGACATGCCAAAAAACATGCTTGCAAAATATTATTTGGTAATTTGATGTATTTCTTAATCGCTAATCATTGTAAGAGATGGTATGTATATTTTTTATTTATCATATTGTTAAAAAATCAGATATGATAAGAGATTATATATTTTTAGTTAAAGTAATATGTATATCATCTTCTGTTACCATTAAATATTGAAATTGTAGAACAGTTTTACGGACTCTTCATGCCCAGCATATAACTTGTGTGGCAGAGAGTTTGGTGACTCAACGCTCACAGCTTGCGGCTCTTACGATGTCTTACTGTTTGCACCAAGTTAGTGTTAGGGTGCATAGTTATTAAACCCAGTCTGGCCTTATTGACAAGACAAAAGGCGAATCCGATTTAAAATCAAAATCAAACCAATTTTGATTTTAAACCATTTTTAAAAGAGAATTAAAATCAACTAGTAATAATTAACTCGGAATTGAAATCAAACCAATTGTGGTCGAATCGGTTGACTTGTACAAAATTAACTCTGGAATAGCTCTTTGATAATTATAATTATTTAATTAATATTTATGATCTGTTGATTAAATTATTCATTTCTAAATTAATTAATATCAATCTGATTCTTTAGCCAGCTCAATATTCTAGCCTAAACAGCAAGACTGTTCGAGTGGATATAAAAGCAAGAAAATGGGACCCACGTATATGCCAACCACTTTTAATTGCTCTTATTCTATCTATTATAGATAATATTCTCACTGTTCCGTTTTATTTGTTTATTATTACTTGTTTAAATGTTTTAAAATTTTACAAAGATTTTAAATTTATTTATGTAAATAATTTTTTTTTTATAATATTTATAATTTTTTATTAAATTAATAATTTTTATTAATATTTTAATAAAATACAGATAAAAAAATAAAATAATTTTTATTGATTAAATTCTTAATATTCTCTTTGTATTTTATCAAATCGTCCAAACAAAATAAACAAACAAAATAAAACGAAGAGAGGGCGATCAAGAAGGATTAAAATAAGAGGAAAAAAAAAAAGAATAGAAAACCTACCGGTTATGTTACTGTCCCTTGGCACATCAACTAACAGCGCTGGCCCTGATAAAGGCAAAAACAGATTAATTAGTAACAGTTATTCAAGTTGCAAAAAAATTCAGAAAATTCTGTTATTGTTGTAATAAACACACAAATCCAGACAGAAACAAAGAAATCAATGAAACCGATCCCCCGTTCTGTTACCGTTAAGAACTTCTAAGTCCAGAGTATCAACATCAAATCCAGCATCGTAATAGTGATCGTAAACATGGCCCGGCGCGTCCACATGGGTACCGGAGTGTACAGACAGCTTGAACTTGGAGAAATTCGCGATCGAACCATTCTTCAAACTCTCAAAAAGCCAGATAAACTGTCCGATCCCGTCCTTGGAATCCCAGGACGGCATGTCGTTCACGTACACGTGGCTGATGTCGATGATTTTTCCCTTTCCGTAGACTTCTCTCCGGTTAGGGACGAGAAGGAGGTCATCGTCAGTGGAGATTGGACCACTGCAAGAGCCATCGACGGCGGCGGGATACGCGTCGTTGGGTGAGAAAGAAAAGACTGTGTGTAGGTAGGCGCACGATAGTAGAGTGAAAAGCAAGAGTAAATGTTGTTTAATCATGGTTGTTGACTTCGTTTGGTGTAACTGAAGATTGTTGTCTATGTGCCGGTGTTGATAATTTATAATGGGTCTGAAAGGCATTTTTAGCATTTTATTTTTATAATTTATTGGGAGGTATAATAAGTCTAATAATACTGTAAAATGGTAGTTATCCTTTTACTCGATAAATTAATAAAAATTCTTATTATTGGGGACATAATAAATAATTTTGAATTTACTATATTAAATTAATCAACAGAAATAATTATTGATTCAACTGCTACGTTTGAAAAAAAAAAATCAACATGCAAGTTTGAATTTTGATATTGGATGATCTTATTGTATTTTTTTTTAATGTTGGCATGGAAATCATTTTGGCTTATACTATAACACTAAATCTATGATGTGTCAAAATTACATTCTCATACTTCAAGTGAAAAAGAATTAAAATAAAAAATAAAAATATTGACTTGGGTTAGTTGTCTAGATAAGTTGAGTTTTTATTGGCATATTAATAAAATAAATTGAATTTGCTCATAGAAAAAAAAAATTATCCCTGGTTTTGGGATAATGGGTAATTTGATTAAATTACTTTTGATTTTATTATACTTTAAGAAAATTAATTGATTCCTTAATCCCGCGCAAAAATTTTAAATGAAAGGGAGTATATCAAATCATTTAATATTGTAGAAATGTATTTGGAAAAACTAAAAAAAAAATATTCCCTCTATCCCATTTTGTTTGCTTATTATTCTTTTTTTTTTATATATCCCACAATGTTTGCAAGGTTTCTAAATTTATATATTTAAACAATTACTTTTCCCATAATAACTTTTATGATTGTTCATTAAATAAATGTCTTTTATTAATATCTTAATGAGTTAAGGATGAAAAATAGTAAAATAATTTTTATTGACTAAATTTTTGATATGCATGTTTTGTCAAATCATATAAATAAAATGAGACGGAAAGAGTATATAATTTAATTATATTAACTACTCTCTCTGTCCTAAAATATAAGTCGTTTAAAGTTTTTATATGAGGATTAAGAAAGTAATTAAAATTCCCCTAAATTCTAATAAAATCAATTGATAATTTAACCGAATCACTTGTGATCTCATGTCATTATATTATATCTTAATACAAATAAGGGTAAAATGGAAAAAAAATTATTACTCCTTAAAATATTCAAAGCGATTTATATTTACAAAATTAACATCCTAAAATGACTTATATATTCGGATGGATGTAGTAATTTTTCTTAATTAATGTGAAAGTCAAACTAACCCAACATGTATAGAAACAGAGTACCGTGAATTGATAATAAATGAAATCCATGGAAATTAATAATATGTAAGGTATTTACCATTAAGCACTTGCAAATCAAGAGAATCAACATCGAACCCTTCATCAAAGTAAGAATCATAAACATGGCCCGGTGCATCCACATGCGTACCAGAGTGTACGGACAACTTCATCTCTGATTCATTGCTGAGCGAGCCATTCTTCATGCTTTTCATAAGCCAAACAAACTGCCCAATTCCTTCCTTTGAGCCCCATAACGGCATGTCGTTTACATATCTATGGCTTATATCATAAATTTCTCCATTACCATACACTTCTTCTCGTAGCACCCTTCCGCCGTGTATGGCGGTGGCTAGAGTTACTAAAAGGGTACAAAGTAGCAGAGGATTTTGGTACTTGGTCATGGCCATGGATTGTTCGGCAAATAATTATTTAATTGTGATTTTAGAATACGTTCATTATATCGTAATATATCATTGGCCATGGATTGTTCGGCAAATTTAATTATTTAAATTGTGATTTTAGAATTACGTTCATTATATCGTATATTATATATATATATATTATATGATAAATATATTATATATATTAGGAGATTGCATTTTATTGACCCGCGTTTAGGTTGACTGAAGCCAAAAGTTATTATTATTTGACCCCGTAATCATTCATGGATTGACCTTGTAGAGCTTCTAGAATAGATTGATTCATGTATTGGAGATGCATTTTATTGACCCGCGTTTAGGTTGACTGAAGCCAAAAGTTATTATTATTGACCCGTAAGCATTCATGGATTGACTTGTAGAGCTTCTAGAATAGACTTGATCATGACCTCATGCTTTGAAACAAAATTTTAGACCCGAACCTGGTTAGGTCTCAGCTCGTTAAAATTCCAAATGAAGAAAGTGTGTTAAAAACTCGACTCAAAGTGACAAAATCCAGAATGTTTGGAAACCAAATAGAATTGAACCATGTATAAAACGGTGCCTAATAGGCTTAGTTAGGCTGGTTCGGTCGACTAGATGTAGAATCAAATCATCTGATAGTTTAGTTAGTTTCCTTTAGCTATATAGCTCCATTCTTACAACTTTCTCTATATTTTCATGTCCCACTATGGTTTTTCCCTTGTGCCACACCTGATTTGGTAGCATATGTCTATTGGTGTCACCTCAAATATAATTTTAATTAACAATTTCATTTGGCGTAAGTTTAGTAGTGCCATACGGGAAATATAATTCTATATAATTTTAAAAAAATCATAATTAATTATGGATTTTTGGTTAATTACAAATTAATAATTTTAAATTAATTGAATTAATTAGGAGAGTATTTCGCAAGTTGGTATAGTTGATGGCAGAACTAGACAAGAAAAGAGGAAAAATAAAAAGATGACATTGTAGAGCACATTTGGCTTTTTCATCTAAAATTTAATCGTAAAAGTGTTACTTTTTAGTTCGTCTAATAGGTGAAAACCTCATGAACGTTTTCGGCAAATCTCAGGAACTAAATAGTTCTTTACAAAAAAGTTTGATAATTTTAACTGAATTTAATTTAGATTACCGAGTTAATTGTTATCAAGTTTCTAATAACAGACATCATGAGTTGATTGAACCGTCAGTTCTGATTTAATAAACTGATGGTTCAAAAATTTCAGGGACGACTAAAAAGATTAAATAATATTTGTATATTCACTTTTGAATTTTATTATTTTAACCTTATTACATCCTCAATTTGTACTAAACTTTAACTTATATAATTATTTTATTAAACATTCAGTTTAAATGCATGATAAATCATTTACAAAGTTCACAGTGTTGCAAGACTAAAATTACAAAATTGAAAGGTGAATTTATCTGGCCAAATAATATTCAACCCATAAACTTTTTACCCTCTGATATTAACTTAATGAAAGATCATAACAGTGCAACGACAATATTTCAAGCCAATGCCATTCATCATTTCTCTAAATTTTCAGCAGATAAAACTACCCATTACTGAAACAAACACGTACAAGTTCCTCAAGGCATTGTGATTCTCTAACTACGACAACTGTTCTGTCAAAAAACAGACAACAAACACAATGCTGATACTTAATTTGTTCTAAGAAACAATCTAACTGTAACATCCAAAGATTATTATCAATCAAGTTTACGTGTCATTGATAAGAGAGTGTCATTGATGAGAGAATGCACCGTAGAAATGCATTTGAATTGTACTTCTCTTGCCTTGGGCACACGCAATAATTTATGTTCGTTTGCACCATCTTCTTATTCACAAGTAGGAATATCGCTGTTACTGCTAGAAATCAATCAGTTTGCTTGGACTACCACATAAACTTAATAAAATACAGGTAAACTCTTACACGACCTTTGAAATTTGACTTAATTAATCAGTCAGTGCTTGCTTTTTTGAAAAACAAATTAAATTGTCAGTCACATTTTTTCCGTCATGGGATAATTTCTGCTTGTCAAAACACTTTAAAATAGTTGAAGCAAATATTCAATGGTGAAAATAACAAAATATGCTTTGTAATTGAAAACAAGGGAAAAAAAAAGAATAAACAAATAAATAACAAATAGAAAATATAAAATAAAAGCAAAAAAAAAAATTAATATGGACTATTATTTTGGATAGAGAAAGCAATAATAAAAAAATGATTTAGAAATAGAGGAAAGAAGGTGGGCAATTAGGGTACTACAGATGGCTTCGTAACCACTTAATACTAAGTGTATCTTTTCTTGTCATAATTATTTAACAAAAATTTGATGGGTTTTTAAGAAAGGGCTACTTTTTGAACAGAAAAAAAAATATATATATATGAGAAAAACAATTTGATTGATGTTTCAAAAAACAAGGACTCACTTGTTAATCAAGTCAAATCTTAGAGACTAAATAGTCATTTACCCAAAATACAGAAGCAAGAAGGAAAACAGACAGTAATAAGTCATAATGCATTTTACTTGGAGCATTACATATTGAATATGATGAAAATTAAGAGATTATAACTTTGAGATATCAAAAACTTACAATGAAAAATAATTATTTGATGAGAATGCATCTTATTGGAGATCCTTCAGCACCAAGCAACCTTAGAGGTAAGCAATGGACAGAATATATTCCCGGTTGAATGTTGTCAAGCTTTAAGCCTTCCACGAGAATGATTTCCTGAAGCATATAAGCAGTGTTAGTCTTCAGTGTAGTCAGAAAGTACATATTTTCACTGAATCAAAGTGCCTCTAATGCTGATAAATGGAAATTTCATTTTGGATTTCAGTGAAGTCCAAAAGAAGAAATAACTACACAAAGTAAAGATTAAAAGATTGAAAGTAAAATCATTTGACAATAGAGAGATACATCCAATCTCAAAGTGTCAAAAATCCCACATTAGCTAATTCTTTGCTAGATAAAAGAACTAGCTGGGATACCCATTCTAATTTTAAAGGTGGTCCAGTGGAATCCATATGGTGGCTGGAAAATTAGAACATCTTTTGATGGACATGATTTATTCAACTACGGAATAAGAACACGCAATTAACAAACAACTATAAATTGCTCAAAAGCAGAAACCCTTTAATCACTGGACTGTAAAGTACTACTTACTCTGCCCTCTAAAAAGACAAGATGGGATGGAATCAAATCAGTCCAGGCAGCAACAGATAAGTAATCAATTCCTACAATTGACAACAGATAAATGTGTTAGTGGCCAAAATATTTTTCCAAGAAAATGGCGCATATACTTGAAATTGTGAATACCATAAAAGATTACAAGTAATGCCACACCATACATCCAACACATACAAGCTGAAGAAGGAGAGAACTGGTTCAATGTGGGTTTCTCTGGACATAATGGTTCCAATTCCAAAGGAGACCAAAGCACCTGAGACAACCAGTAAGCCTAGCAGGTATTTATAAAGAAATTCATGCCAGAATATGTCTTGATAATCTGTGTTATTAATATATCTGTTAGGTAAATAACTGAAAAGAGGAAACTGAGCTAGACATTGTATACTAGTAGGAAGAACAGGCCCTTGTTAGTATTTAAATTGTTTGAGATGCAGATTTCGTGTCAAAACGGTATGCATATAAAATCAGTCATGGGCTTAGTTTGAAGGCCTTCACAACATTTTCCAATGGGCATTTTAATAAGAAATTGAGTGTTTTCCCTATGCTTCTTCTGGAAAGCAAATGAAAGCAACATATATTTTATAGAATGCAACTCAAAAGGACAATTGATAATTGAATGCATGCATTAAATTGCCAGAAAAAATTACTGATAATATCATCTTCGGGGGGTTCCAGGCACAGGACACAGTTGAAGGTTATGTTTCTCACTTGCAGAGTAGATAGCTACTCTTCAGTTGGGGTGGAGGTTGGATAATAGAAAAGTATGAACACAAGTCTTTGCTAGAAACGACATGAAACATTCAGATGATGTAGCTTGTTAATGTTTGCATAGCCATAGCCAATGCTTAGGAGCAAATGGTATGTCTTAAAGGTGCCACAAGGGCATGCGCGGTGCCAAAAAAAGATAAGATGAGAAAAAGAAACAATTGGCAGACTTTGTAACTTCTATAAGATTTTCCAAAAAGTACAGAAAGTATGCTAAAAAGGAACTGGCCACAATAGAGAGAATCAGGCAGAATTGGTCATAACTAAAAATAACAAAGATGCTGCTAAAGGTTTATGCGATCACCCCTAACAATACAAGCAAGATATGAGTTTGTGGTCTATAATTTAATTACTATCTAATGTTGATAATTGGAATAAAAAAAAAAAAAAAGTAGTAAACTATATCAGAGGAAACAACCACCATTATTACAAGGTTAAGCCAAGAAAATCATGTCTTATCATGCATAAAAATATTCAGGCAAAGAGCAAATGGCAAAAAAGCATATAACTCTAAATAGTAAATTATAGGTAATCGATACAAGTGTTAGGTACAAAAGGTTAAGCAAAGGGGAAAAAGAAGAACATAAACAAAAACAAGAGAGAGAGAGAGATGGAAGGTGAGCAGATCTTACCAACCATCTTGACGTCTGTATTTTCTACCAACCATTTTGCTCCATCCCTTGTGAATCCCACATAGCTTGTGTCAAACTGAGGTTTGAACATAAGCTGCCTGAGATAAAATTTTGTTCAGATATAAATAGTGCACATTCATAAATTTCTTCTGTGAAGTTTTGAATAAGAGGATCGAGTGACAGATAAATGGCAATTTAAGAGTGGATAACAAGTTCTGATGTCATGATAAAATTTTCCCAAGAGGAAGTTCATTGCAGCAAATGGCACACAAAGATGACAAAATCAGTCCTAGACTCTTGCCACCCGACCATCCAACTTGGCACTTCAGAACTTTATGATAATCCCCAATATTCAGCAGCAAAGGACCAAAAGTAAAAGTACCCATTCAAAAGACCCAGGCAAAACCTTGCAATTTATTTTCCCACAGAAATTTCAATCCATCATCTTTAAATAGTCTGTTCTCCAATTAAGTGCATGGTTACATTTATAAGGAAATCTCCTTTGGTCATTAAATTCTGAAATGTTTGAAGGCCTTAGTTATTTCTACTTAGTACTTTCAGCAGATCTTACCAACCAAGTAAGTGTATATCTATATATATACATGATAAGTTATCATGTCACCCAAAGAAATTAAACTTGGTGTACATGGGACTTCCTTTCTGTTTCTAATGAAAATTGACACTAAATTTCGATTGAGAGGACCGATCTCCAATTCACGATGAGCCAGCATAGGCATTGCCAGAGCTATTGAAATTGAACTGATCACCATGAAGGCATTAACCCCTCCACATATAAAAAGCAAAACTTAATGGGTCAACATGCAACCAAAAACCAGCCACATAAACTACCACAGAACCCAACTATTAAGCACCATAAAGGGATGGAGGATAAACAACAAACACTGATGATTAAGACAAAAGATAACTAAGAGTTCTATCATCTTACAATAGAATATTGCATAATGAGAGTATCTTCGTCCATTTGCTATTAAAGGCTCATGTTAATCATTGCAAATCCAACAAATTCATTTCAAAGCTTGAACAAAATTATTGACAAAGGAAATATGCATTTCATTATCATTTACATATTTGACTGATTTGTTAAACTCTGTCTAGTCCTAAGTGTTGCAATTACAAGCTTCCCAAATTCAATAACCAATTAAACAAGTGGAAGATATTTACCTGTCAGTATTAAGCGTTCTAAAAAGCACACGACGTACTCCCTTGGGAATATGCAAGGACTTCATAGCTTCAGCTGTAAGTCACATATCCTATTACTAAAATTCCAAGAAGGTGAAGTGGAAAAGGATAAAAGAAATAGAAGTGGAGCATTAACCCAACAAGAGAACAAAAGGAGATAACATAAATGCGACTCAAAAAAACTAACAAAATGGTGATTACTAATTTACTGCAAAAAAGAAAAAAAAAAAAAAAAAAAAAAACCACAGAATACCCAACTTAAGCACCATAAATGGAGATAAACATCAAAACACTGATGATAAACAGCAAAAGTATTAGAGGTTCTATCATCTTACTAGAAAATATTGCATAATGAGATCTTCGTCCCCATTATTCTTTTTTTTTTGCTATTTAATATAAATACTCAAACAACAAACCATGCGGGGAGGGCAGCGGGGCCTTTCCATCCCACCTTTTTCTCTTCTTTTATTCTCCCATCCCGCCCAACCATGATCTAATACTACACCATGACTTGTCTATATCAACTATGTAAAATCCATACACCACATTCATTTCAAAGCTTGAACACAAATTATGGACAATATATGATTTTCATTTATCGTTCTACAATATTTGCACCTGACTCTGTTAACAACATTCTTGTTAGTCCTAAGACTGTCGAGCAATAATACTCCCCAAACTACGAAGATCCAATCTAGATCAATAACAGAACAATCCGAGAAAGATAATATTACACCTCTCAGTGCTAACGATTGCGTAGAAAGAGCGAACGACGTACTCACACCTTGAGGGATACTATAAGCATCAATCACAGCTTCACAGCTGAACAGATCACTACAATCCACTCGCACTCCCATAATAACTTAATAATTCCAGAAGCTGAAATGAACAAGCGAATAAAGAACTAGACAGTCCTGGAGCTCTACTCATACAGTACCCAACAACGAGAACAAAGAACGGACCACCCGTAACATAATACATGCCGCACTTCAAAACAAAAACTAACAAAATCGGTGATACTAATTTACTGCAAAAAAGATAAAAAAAAAAAACATGAGAGAGAAAAGAGAAAACAATTGTACAATTCCTATTCAGCCAGAATAAAGTTAGCTAAGCATAAAAAAATTAAAGCTTATCATCTAATACCTATATAGGCCCCATCTCGATAGAGATCCGTCCAAAACATCTTAAAACAAAAGCAACGCCTAGACTTTCACAACGCTTTACAAATATTCCTACCTGTCACTATCGTACAAACACCCATACGAAACGCAACTAGAGTCCTACACTCTCTTAGTGACCAAAAAAAAAAAAAAAAAAAAAAAAAAAAGAGAGAGAGAGAGAACAATTACAATCTTATTCAGCCAGAATAAGTAGCAAGCATAAAAATTAAAGCTATCATCTTAATTTATGGCCTTGATAAGATTCCAAAAATCTTAAAAAGCACCTAACTTTACAAGTTTCAATATATGTACTATCAGTTACAAACATGAGAAACTAGTCTATCTTAGTGCATGAAATAAAAAGATTAACATACCAGTTATATTGGTATCCCTTGGAACATCAACTAACAGAGCTGGCCCTATTGACATAAACAGGAAGAAGTCATAAACAAAATTCAATTAAAGTGGCACAAAGCCAACGATTGATCAAGTTAATGAAAGAACTGTGTCCTTTTATCGAACAAATAGAATTCATAAAGCAGTAAACCCGAAAAAACAAAATTAACAATTGCTATTATTAGTAATACCGTTGAGCACTTCAAGGTCAAGAGTGTCGACATCGAAGCCTGCATCAAAATAATGATCGAAAACGTGTCCCGGAGCATCGACATGTGTGCCGGTGTGAGTGGGGAGCTTCATCTCGGAGTTATTGGCGAGAGAGCCGTTTTTCATGCTGGCGGGAAGCCAGAGGAACTGCCCTAGCCCGTTCTCCGATCCCCATGACGGCATACTGCTTGTGTAACGGTGAGTGATGTCGAAGATCCTCCCGTCGGCATAGACTTCTCGGCGAATCGGAGTCAAGTTGTCGGTGTGAGAAGCGGAGACGGAGATATCGGCGGCACCTGGGATGGTGGGGTATGCTTCGATGGAGGCGGTAGCGCAGAGAGGGGAGAGTAGCAGTAGGAGGAGTAGAGAGGTCATCGTTTTGGTTTTGTGTTCTGCGATGTTGAAGCGAAGAGTGTAAAGCTGAGTGTAGTTGTTTGTATCGTTTACACCAGTTGTTTTGGAACAAAAGAATCGCGATTGTTGATCAACTCTGAGTAGAATTCATGAATTTGACTTGTGTCATAATTTGAAATGAGGAGTTCAATTGATTCTGCAAGATAATGTTTGTAACCATTTTTTAAAATAAAAATTTATTTATTTTTATTTTCTAAAATATCTTTTAACATAATAATTTAGTATTTATTATATGGCGAAAATTATTATTTCGTCCCTGAGGTTTTACATAATTATTTAAGTAGTTCTCAACATTTATATATATATATATATATATATACTCTTTAAATAAAAATTTCTTCTACTTTTTATTTACCAAATATCTTATTAACAAACGCAATTAATATATTTAGTATTTTCATCTACTATTGCGCGAACCAACACTACTATACTCATTTACGCTACCCCCTGCAACACAGGCTATTATTACATACCATTCACTTCTTAAACAATAGTTCCTCCAAACATCTTACTTACCTAGCCCACCATACCTAACCACATAACAACTATACCAACTCCTGACGGTTTTGCACACCTACATATAATTCGTCCTTCGCCGTCACAAAAAAATACACTTTTCCGTTTAATTTTGATGAGAAAAGACGAATAATTTCCTTTTGGAAAAAAAATAATTATCTTCCTCGTCTCATTGCAGGTTTGACATAAATTATTAAGTAACTACCCTACCACTATTAACTATTAAAATAATTAAACTACGCATATTCGCTACTTCGAGAAGTTTTACTTCCGTTCCATGATTAATTGCATCCCTGCTTCATCCAATAAAAATTACTTTTTGTTCTCGTAATTATTCGAGTTGAAAAGACAATCATACTGCCCTGTAACTAAGATATATATACAATCATTCCAACTAAAAGACGAAATTATCCTTTATAAGTTTTCATTGACATTATTATTAATCTATTTCCTCTAAAATACCTAAAACTCACATTTTCACCATCTTTTTCAATCCAATGCGATCTTCATTGCCACCATCGTGTCAATGAAAATTATTATCTCCATAACCAGATCACCACCAAAACTAAAACCCAACATCCAAACTCAATTAAGCCATCATCATCCTTTATCCATTTATCTCTCTCTCCTTAATTAGATGATTTAGATTAGTTTGGTCATTCTATTAAAAATTAACAGCAAAAAGTGTGTTTTTTGACTGAAGAACCAAATAATATGACGGAAGTAACCTCAGGAACGTTATAAATATTTTCCATTTTAGTTTTGTTGGTGATCTGGTTATGGAGATGATACTTGACAGAGACGTGATCTGGTTATGGAGATGATACTTGACAGAGACACGGTTGTGGCAATGAAGACCACGTTGAGTTGATGAAAATGATGAAAATTTGAGTTTCAGGTATTTTAGAGGAAAGGGATTGACAATAATGTCCATGAAAACTTACAAAGGATAATTTTGTCTTTTCCGCTCAAAATTAATGAAAAAAATGTATTTTTTTTTATGGAAGGACCAATTAATACGACGGAAGTAAACCTCAGGGACTTTATAAATATTTGTATAAATGTCGAGAACTACTTAATAATTATGGCAAACCTCAGAGACGAAATAATTATTTTTGCAAAGGATAATTTTGTCTTTTCTTCTCAAAATTAACGAAAAAAGGGATAATTTTGTCTTTTCTTCTCAAAATTAACGAAAAAAGTGTATTTTTTTGACGGAAGGACCAATTAATATGACTGTGGCAAACCTCAGGGACGTTATATATATATATAGAGGACTACTTAAATAATTATGTAAAACTTCAAGGATGAAATAATAATTTTCCCTGTTATATAACTTATTTTTTAATTAAAATGTGAATAGTAAAATTTCTATAAAATAAGGACACTCTCATTTCACCCTTATACATTTTATATAATAATAATAATAATAATAATAATAATAATAATAATAATCACAACTGGCTTAACCTACAAAAAATTATTAACTTGCGACTTATTCTCATTATAGAAACACTCTCAACTGATATTCGTCTTCTTGATATCCCAAATTAAAAATTATATTATTCGCACTCTAAATTCAAATTCAGCTATAGTTATAAATAAAAAATTAATAAAGTGGATTCCACGTAGCCATATTCGCACTCTAAAACCCATCGTTCTTCTCCTTCTTCCTTCTTCCTCCTCTTCCTTCCTTCCATTTCAGGAACAAAATGTTTCTCTACATAGTGAAGGAATTTGATTACAGTAGAAAAGATAGAATTCTAAACTATAAATTATAAAAGCTACAAATGATTTCCCAACTAAACAAAACATCTGCATGCAAAATCAGGAAGCACAACGATCTCGCAGCAAGGAGAAAGAAAATTAAAAAAAATTAAAATTCCTAAAACAAGAAAGCACATGAATTGATGATGAAGAAAGAGAGAAAGAGGTAATTAAGCGTATCTCGAAGAAGTTATATTGGTGGTGGACGAGAAAAAGGAGATAGATGCCCAATCATGCTTGGATCGAATTTGAACTGCTCAGCCAAATTCGATCGCGTTATCATCTTCTAACCAATTTCGATTTCTCTATTTCTTATTGAGCTCAGAAAGGCATTAACCATTGAGATTTTGAAGAGCTACAGATAATTCAAATAGTCAACTAACAAAAGATGAACAAAGGGAAAGGATTAATGTTCAATTTGCAAAAACTGCGGCTCAACATCTCTAATCTCTCGAAGAAGTTAACTTGAAATCATATTAGGTTAGGGATTTAGGCTACTTCAATTCACCATTATCACGAAGGAAGAAGAAGGAGAAGAAAGAAGATGAGCGGTGGAGAGATTAGGGTTAAGGAATAGGGATTTTTGTCAAAAAAAAAAAAAAAAGCTAAAAAAAAAAAAAAAAAGCCTAGGTGAAATAGTGTGTTTTGATAGGTTGGATTAATTAAGTTAACCCAAATGATTCTACAAGACCCACTTTATTAATTTTTTATTCAAAACCTGAACTGAATTTCAATTTAGGGTGCTAATAATACAAAAATTTTAATTTGAGGTGCTAGAGAATGAACGTCAGTTAGAGTGTTTTTGCAACAAGTTAAATAAATCAGGATTTTTTTTTAGATTAACCCTATAAATGTTGAAATAAAATAGAGAATAATAAGACTACCTATTATAACCTTAATGAAATTTTAAAAACCTTAAAATATATGTAGTCATTCGATAATTGACAGTAATTTCAATTTATTAAATAACTTGAATTTTTAATAAACGATAAATTAGGATATTAGATTATTAATCAATTGAGTTTTTTTAATAATTTTTTATTAATTGATTAAAAAATTTTTATCATTATATTATTTTAACATGTCTATCTATCGATTTATCTATCTTTGACTGAATACATAAATTTACCTCTAAACTTTGCAACTTTAATCTTGTGACACCCTGAACTTTGCAGATGATCTATTATGCAGTGAACATGTAAATTTTGTTACTATTAGACACCTTTCGATATTAATATCAATAATATTTAGGGTTTTTAGCTTTTATCTATAAAATATTAACTTGATAAGTAGTTAGCATGAATTTTTTAAAACAATAATTTTTATAAATTTTAACTTTTTAATGAGTGTTTAAATGATTTAATTTTATGAGTTGAAGTGTTCAATAAAATAATTTTAAAATTAAATATTTAACTGTGTAGTTTTATAAGTTTAAGTGTTTAATAGATTAAAGTAAAAGTTGAGGGTGACACAAGATTAAATTAATAAAGTTTAAAAGTGAATTTATACATTCGGCCATATATTAAAATAAAGTTTTAAAAGTGAATTTATACATTCTGGGGGGGCCATATATAATATATATATATATATATATATATAATTGATAATCATATATATTGATTATTGATAATATATATATTGATAATACCACTGATAATCAAAATACCACTGATAATATATGTATTAAATTTTTTTGCTTCAAAAGTGAATTTGGGTTCCCGGAACATATTGATAATCAAAATACCACTGATATATCCAAGGGGTGAAGAAAGTCATACAATAATACATCAAGAATTATATATATATATAATCCTGAAGCAAAAAAATCTTAAAAATGCTGACGTAGCGCTCTCCTTATATATAATCCTGAAGTAAAAAAATCTTAAAAATGCTGACGTAGCGCTCTCCTTTCTCAGCATTTACTTTTCTTTTTTAAAAGTTTTTGAGCTTTTTCTTTATTTTTTTTCTGATAAGAACAATATATTTAAGTTATCTGAACTAATCATAATTATTTTTAAAGAGTTGTTGATATTATAACTCTATTAGAAAAATGAATCTAACAAATCTAATCATATCTTTTCAAAAAAATCCAATGCTAGCCACTATATATATCGTTAATCTAGGAATGGACTCTCAACCTTCGGCTTTTAAAATTGAATCTCCTATAGAATTTTTGAGATAAAAGTGAGTCTCTCTTTGATATTTTCAATGAGTAAGTGGCAATTGGTTTTGTTGTTTGCTTTTGGTTTCTTCAATTATTGATTGTTAGTTAATTCTATTTCATATTAGTTTATATTTGTCTATTGTAATTTTTTATCTTTTGTGCATATAAAGAATAATACGATCATCATCATGAGGAACTCTTGATTTACGATTTTTTTATCAAGAGAAAATTTAGAAGAGAATCTTCATGGTGTATCTGAGGCACTTGACTATCTACATAATCTCTGTCTTGTGGTTCATCTTCATGTAGTTGCTGATTCCCAAATTTAAAATTCCTAAACCGGATGCATGGTTTTATATATAAGCTCAAGGAAATTTTCTACTCTTACCAAAGACATATCAAAGGGATTTGCTACTTCTTATATTCATATCATGAAATTTACCTTTAAAGTTTGTTACTTTTAACTTTATTACACTCTCATAGAATACTTTAATCTATAAAATTATACATATTTATTACTTTTTAACTTGAAAAATTAAATCAATTAAACACCTATTAGATAGTCGTATATTGACCATTTACCAAACTAATATTTTGCAAAATTATATCAATTTTATCATGCAAAATTAGATCAATTAAAATCAATTAGATAATTATGTACTAACAATGCACCAAACTAATATTTTGCATTTAAAAGTTAAAAACCTCAAAAACTATTATTGTTAATGTGAAAAGATATGCTAAATAAACAAAATTCATAATTTTAGAACCACAGTAGATCTCCCTTATGTATCCACACATACTCTCTGAAATTTAACATAAAACTATCATAGTATCTATACGTCTTATTCCCAATAAATAATTTAAAAAGATTGTTAGACTACTAAGAATCGTAGTTGCATGGTATGCTTGTAAGCCTGAATGTATTATTAGGTGGTACATGCATTTAGAATTGAAACTTAGAAATATATACATATATATATATATGTATTATTAGGTGGTACATGCATTTAAGAATTGAAACTTAGAATATATACATATATATATATATAATATAATATATATAGTAAGTTCATACAAACTTCAAAGCATATATATATATATATATATATAGTAAGTTCATACAACTTCAAGCACTCAGTATTTAGAAATTAATAACTTCATATAATACAAAGCCTAAGAGCTATCACTTGATAAGAACACATCTTACCGGAGATCCTTCAGCACCAACCAATCTCAAAGGTAAGCAATTGATATAATAAAGTCCAGCTGCTACATCATCAAGTTTTAAACCTTCCACAGGAATAATTTCCTGAAGAATAATACCACAATTTTAGTATTGAAATGACGATTGCTAACTATTCCTTACCTTTGAATCCCAAGCAGTAGCCCATGGATTGAAGTTGGAATTTTTTTTTTTAATTTGTGTTATTAAATAAGTTTTCAATGTTAGTAAATCAGAAAATTCTATAGGAAGAGGCAGAATCAGATTACGAAATTAAAGGGTCAAAAAAAAAAAAATTTTACAAGTTAGAATGTCAAATAAAAAAAAAGATTTATAGTGTTATCTTACCCTGCTTTTGAGAAAGGCAAGATGAGCTGGAATATTGTCACTCCAAGCACCAACAGATAAGTAATCAATGCCTATATTTGAAAGCAGAAAAATTGCATTTATCCAATACTAATCTGTGGGAAAACAACATAATAAATTTGAAATTGCTGTAGGGTTAATAACTTACCAACAAGCTTGATATCAGTGTTCTCCACCAACCACTTTGCCCCATCCTCTGTGAATCCAGTAAAGCTTGTGTCAAACTGAGGTTTGAACATTAGCCGCCTGTAATTGAGAAAAATATAAATTAATCTCTAAATTATAGTTAAATTAATACATAAGGATATTTGTTTTCAAAAACAAATTATGAAGAATTTAAATTACATTCTGTTACTACTTTAGTATTTCCGCACAAAATAATCTCTTTTAATTATCAATTGACTAAAGAAGACGAAATGGACCTTATGCTAAAAAAAGATTTTAAGGTTAAAAAAATAAATTGATCTCTAAAATTTAGAAACTTTATAGTTAGTCTTTGAAAATAAAAGTTTTCATGAATTAATTTGATTATAATTTTAGGGATCAATTTATCTTTTTCTCTTCTCTTGCAATTTAATTGAATTGGCAGTCAATGTTCTATCAACTTTCTACATAGAGGACCTAATTGAACAGATAGTATCAAATTTTACCTGTCAGTATTTGATGTTCTAAAAAGCACACGACTTACTCCCTTTGGAATATTTAGGGATTTCATAACTTCAGCTGTAATAGAAATTAATTATATTAATGAATTTCCACGTGAAAGACTAGGGGATGAGTATTTGATTCAACTAAATTATAACTTTAAAAATAGAAACCGAATCCAACAATTAATTATAAAATCACAGTTTTTACCTTTCTAAATAAACTTATTTAGTTGGAAACCCAATCTAATCAATTCTATTTCATTTTTTCCAGTTTAAACAAAAATTTCGCACTAATTAAACGAATTTCAAAAAAAAAAAAAAAAAAAGAACTTTCAAAAAAAAAAAAAAAAAAAGAAACCGATTTTCTCAGATAGTCGAACCAAATTGAATATTAGTTTCTAACCACATTACTCTCTTCTAAGAAGGACGAATGAGAAAAAAAAAAAAAAAAAAAAAAAGAACCGATTTCTCAGATAGTCGAACCAAATTGAATATTTAGTTCTAACCACATTTTACTCTCTCTAAGAAGACGAATGAGAAAAATAATAAAAATAAACTAAAATTACTATTTAGTCCTTTATATATGATTTTTTTTTACATAAAAAATTAATGCAAAAAATAAATAATTTATTTAGAATGATATGAGATTAGCTGAAAAAAATACGTACCAGTTATGTTCGAATCTCTGGGTACATCTATTAACAGGCCCGGACCTGTTAAAATAAATAATTAAAATAATAATTTCAAAATCAAGAAATGATTTCACCTATTAATTGAATCATTAATTACCGTTAAGCACTTCAAGATCTAGGCTATCAACATCAAAGCCGGCATCAAAGTAGTGATCGAAAAAGTGTCCCGGCGCGTCGAGGTGTGTGCCAGTATGGACTGAGAGCTTCATTTCAGAGATGGTGGCGAAGGATCCGTTCTTGATGCTGGTGGATAGGCGGAGGAACTGTCCTAGCCCGTTGTCGGAGCTATACGATGGCATGTCGCTGGTGTATCGATGGCTGATGTCGATGATTCTCCCGTTGGCATAGGTTTCCCGGCGAATTGGAATTAGATTGTCGTTTTGAGAAGCGGAGATGGAAGTATCAGTGGTACCAGGGACAGTGGGGTAGGCTGCAGTGACGGTGCAGAAAGGAAAGAGAATCAATAGGAGGAGGAGAGATGTCATGGCGATGGTTTGCAAATTGCAATGACTATATTATGACTTCTGGAATTGGTAATTTGTTTTATTCACTAAGTTCCCTCTTCAGCTGGAAGATAAGGAGGACATGAGGAACCATATGGAAATTTAGAACTACTATTTATTTTAAATAGTCTTTTAAAATTAATTGAATTGCTAGAAGTAGAACCTTGATGAATTTTACTAGCAAGGTGAGGTCCGTCAAAAGAGATTTATCTGAATACGACCCTTTGCCTATCGAAGCTTTTAAACAATAAAAATAAACTAATTTTAATTAACAGGAGCTTTAGTCACTGAACTAAATTAATTAGACTAAATTTTGATTGAATTAATATAAGAATTTATAGCAATTAAATTACATCTTAGAAATTGACCATCCCTAAAAAAATATACATAATCTCCTTATAAACCAATAATAGTACAATCATGAACTTATCTATGACTAAATTGGATCCCATTGACCAGCTAGGCTGAGTGTGTTCCTTCTATGCTGAAGCTAAAAGTTCTAAGAAATGTAAAAACTGCAATATTTAAAACTAAAAATAATTGAATTCAGTGCATTATCACATAAGAAATTCATAATCAGATATCCATTTGACACTTTGATACCTTTTTTCCTTCAGCTTTGTTCCCTCCATTTATGCTAGCCTTTTGCTTTAGGTTCCCATTGCTTTGGTTAAGAACTGAAGTCCATTGTTTGACTTCCGTTCCTTGAATTAGGTAACTTAACTGAACATTATAAATTGAAGACTTCAGTAAGACTATAAACTGACAATGAAAAAATATAAATTTTCACATAGTCAAAGCATGTTTTTGTATGTTTTGTGAAACTTTTTATTATATATATAAGAGTTGGTCATAAGCCTTCAACTGTCAAAGCTAACGAAAACTTGAAACTGTGACTAAAAAAATGAATATCAAAGTCAAAGCCATATTTAGGTCTTTAGGTCTTTGATTGTGGCAGGAAGATCCTCCTTTGGCAAGGACTTGAGTTTAGAGCAATTAGAAGCGTGCAAAGTTTCAAGAGAAGCAAGTTTTTTGTAAGACCTCTGGATATAAATTTCAATTTCTTGAATCCTTGTATGGTAAAGGCGACAATTGAAAAGGCAAGTAATACACCTTCATTGTCTGGAAAAGTGACTATGTGATCTGTACAAGGGCTTGAACCTTTGATTGTGAAATTTCTAAGAGAGATAAGCTTGTGAAGTCTCCATTCTGAAATTGGCTTTGTCAAGTTGTTGCACTCTTCAATCTCAATACAAATAAGGTTTGGAGGCAAATACCCTTTTGTAATTGGTACAAGACATCCACAATTCTTAATCTTTAATTCCTGAAGAGCTGTGAGCATATGCATTTCGTCGGACAAAGACTTCAAATATGCACACAGCTTTATCGTAAAATATTTAAGAGCAAGAAAGAAAGCGCTCTTCGAGGGAACGACTTTAACCAATTATAGTCGCTTATCTTTAGTTAAGTGAGGCACAAGAGCGGACATGAAGATCTTAATATTTCGTCACAATAATAGATGCTAAGAGTCTAAGCGAGTTAGGAAATTTGGCAATTGGAAAAAACCCCAGAGATGGACATGATTAGATCTCCAACGTCTCAAGATTATTAATTAAGCTTTATTCTCTTTGTCCATAACTTGAGAGAACCACAATTTGTTATCTTAACATGTTGGAGTCCATACGGCAAGCCAGCCTTTTGTCGAAAATGACATAAGCTTCTGGCAATATTGAATCTTCAAATCTTTGAGAGATGTGAGGTCGTGCAACTCACTTACAAGATTCTTCAAGTTCTTACAACATTTTACACTCAAAACTTGAAGAAAAGAGGGCAGAAGCCCTTTCTTTACCTTAACCAATGACTGAAGGTTACAGTAAGAGATCTCCAGATGCTTCAAAGATGTGTGCTTCTGCAACCCAGTTGGCAACTTCTCCAAGTGATTGCAATCTTCTGTAATCAGAACTTCAAGATTGCAAGGCAAAACATCTTTTTCTCCCTTAATAAATGAATAAAGCCTCTTAAACCCTACCCTTTCCTCAACCAATGATAGTAGTTGTTCACACCCTACAATCTGCAAACGCTTTAGACAAGCAAGTTGCTTAATATTCACTTCCCTCTCTCCACAAGTAGCTCAACTCATTACAATTGCTAATTGTCAAATCTTCAAGAGTTATCAAGGCTTGTATAAGCATTTCGTGGATGTATATAAAGCCTAAAATTTTTACAAATTCTTAATGTAGTGAGGTTGCAAAGTGGAGATAGAGTCTTGAGAACCACATCTTGACATTTTTCGATGGTGCAATTTACGAAGAGAGGGCAACATCTAAGGAAAATCTCCCAACTGTTGGCAAATTTGAATATTGAGTTCTTTGAGGGAAGGAAGGCAACTAGGTAATTTGTCATTCAACTTGGGACAGTTTGTTATTGTAATCATAAGCAACATAGGGAAATTTTCTATGGCCTCACTAAAAAGATTGTTGCACCATTGCTTCCATTACAACATATTTTTAATGCGAAAAATCTCTAAACATGAAAAGAATGGCAAGAAAGATAACCATCTCCATAGAATTCACCACCAATCTTTTTCACTTTATTCAGGCCGTCTATGTTCAAATATCTAAGCAAGGGTAATTCCCCAAGTTTTGTTAGAGTTTCGATATTATGACATTTGCAAAGCTCTAATTGCACCATCTTAGCAAACATGGAAACATCCATCCATAACGGGAATCTTGTACCTCCATAGCACTTGATTGAAAATGTTTCTACACTCTGAGGAGGCCTTAGTGAGTGTAAAACCTGCAAGTCAGTTATCTCATTTCATAAATCTGAGAATGTACCATCCCATTCCAAGGTTAGTCCATAAAAATCTTTCTTCTCTTTTAAATTGACAAACTCTGCTTCTCTAATATCAGTCTCATTGTGCAGTCCGCTAATATGAAGCTGCCCTTGTATGTGAGAAAATTTTGTTAACTCTTTTACTCCAAGCCCGTTAACCTTTCCCACAATAAACTCAGGCAAAATGTGGAGATCTATCAAGCTACCGATTTGTAGTGGCATCTCTTGCAAACTACTTGTATTACTGATGTCAATGTATTGGAGATTAACTAGATTCCCAATGCTTGTTGGCAAATTAACAAGTTTATGACACCCACATAATATTAATAGTTGCAAGTTGAAGAGTTCACCTAATGATTCAGGTAACTTTGTATATTTGTGCAAGCCAAATTAAGGTACCTCAAGTGCCTTAAGTCACCAATAGAATTAGGCAACTCGACTAAGTAAGAAGCAGCTAGTGACAATACCCCTAAAACGTTTTAATTTTGGCACCAACTGCTGCAACAACTTGCTAGTTATAAATTGGGTGAATCTGCTAAAATTGGTAATGCTATGCACGTTCGCAAAACTCTTCATCTTATCGAAGACATCAAACCTTTGTAAGACATCACAAATATGACCACTAAGTGATGAATATCGAACATTTGCATATAATTTTACACCCTACAACATATCATCTTGACTTAAACATATCTCCCCACTAACAAATTGAGCTAGATCACTCATGAGATCATGCATCACATATCGCAATATATTGTTCTCAGATCGTCAAAAAAGTGACTTTGATAATTAATCTTCAAAATATGCATGGCCTAAATATTGCATTTCCTTCTTTCCCTTTGGTTGCTGTAGAACGCCCTCTACTATCCACGATAAGACCAATTCATTCTTATCGAATTCATAGTCCTTTGGAAAAATTGCACAGTAAGCCAAACATCGCTTCAAATGACAAGGAAGATTATTACAACTCAACATCAGACTTGACAAATACCTTACACCTATTGCACAGTAAGCAAAACATCGCTTCAAATTGCACAGTAAACGAAATTGCACAGTCTTGCTTGCCACGAAGGAGGCCTCCAAAGGTCTTTGCTGCTAAAGGCAATCCCTTACCTTTTTACAATCCCTTTTCCTATTTCTTTCAGATCTGTGCTTGCATTAAAATCATTTGAATTTAAAGCATGACGGGTAAACAAGGAAAAACGATCACCATATGACAACTCCTTCAATGAATAAACATATACAGCACCCATCAGTTTCGAAACACCTTCATTACGAGTTGTGATGATGATTTTACTTCCTGGAGCTCCAACAACAAAAGGACTACAAAGCTTAGTCCAATCATCATAATTCTCACTCCAAATATCATCTAAAACAATTAAATACTCCTCGTTTGATAGCCTCTCCATGAATTTTGCTTGAAGCAAGCTTAAATCATTTGTTTCACAACTTTCCCAATGCAAAATTGTTTTGGTCACGTAGATATACCCATGCTTTATAGTCAAACTCAGCTCTCACATCATTGTAAACGAGTTGAGCAAGAGTTGTTTTGCCAACTCCTGCAATGCCAGTAATTGATATCACAGAGAACTGAGGGTGATCACTCACTTCATCTCTCATTAAAAGGTTCATTATTGACTCCTTGTCCTTCTCTCTCCCATAAACATGACATTCCTGTTGGTGGTGGTGTGCCCACTCAAGTGGGACCACACAGTTTGAAAAGAAAAAAAATAAAATAAAATAAAGAGAGAAAAACGTGTTATTTGAAAATGTCAAAAAGTTAGCAGAAGGTTGGCAACCAACCATTACCTAAAACTGAGGGTGATCGACTCCAACTTCATCTCTCATTAAAAGGTTCATTATTGACTCCTTGTCCTCTCTCTCCCAATAAAACATTGAACATTCCTGTTGGTGGTGGTGTGCCCACTCAAGTGGGACCACACAGTTGAAAACACACAGTTTGAAAAGAAAAAAAATAAAATAAAATAAAGAGAGAAAAACGTGTTATTTGAAAATGTCAAAAAGTTAGCAGAAGGTTGGCAACCAACCATTACCTAAATGGAGAGCCGTGTGTAAATAGGAGAGGAGTTGCCTCGTTTGATACACAGCCACAGATTAATTTTTTTTATCTGTGAAGAAAAGATTTGAGAGTATTTAGTTTTAAGAAGGGATCTTAAAACTAAGGGTTTAGAAAAATAGTGAAGATTATTGGGGTGTTTTTGGGAAACACTTGTGAGTGCCACTATTTTGTATTACTCTCTTCTCTCTTGTAAGCCTAACCTATTTTTAATAGTGGAAAGAAATATTCCGGAGTTGGTCCCGTGGACGTACCTAAACAGCTGAGGGTGAACCACGTAAATTTCTGTGTGTCCATTTTAATTTTTCGCTTGGCTTAATTATTCTCATATTTTTTATTGCTCTGATACCACGTTTAGGGTACCGGAATAAAAATTACGAGAATAATTATAGCAGCGAAAAATTAAAATGGGAACACACAGAAATTTACGTGGTTCACCCCTCAAGCTGTTTTAGGGCTACTTCCACGGGACCAACTCCGAATATTTCTTCCACTATTAAAAAATAGTAGGCTTACAAGAGAGGTAATACAAAATAGTGGCACTCACAAGTGTTTCCCAAAAACACCCCAATAATCTTTACTATTTTTTTAAACCCTTAGTTTTAAGAACCATTCTTAAAACTAAATACTCTCAAATCTTTTCTTCACAGATAAAAAAAATTAATCTGTGGCTATGTATCAAACGAGGCAACTCCTCTCCTATAAATAAGAGAGGTAATGTGAGAGCCGTGTGTGAGTTACACACGGCTCTCTCCATTTAGGTAATGGTTGGTTGCCAACATTCTGCCAACTTTTTGACATTTTCAAATAACACGTTTTTCTCTCTTTATTTTATTTTATTTTTTTTCTTTTCAAACTGTGTGAGTCCCACTTGAGTCGGCACACCACCACCAACAAATCTCCCCCTGCACGCTCAAGTGGGGACGTTAGCCATACTCTCCATCATCCCTGCAGCTAATCGTTGCAGCAATCGAGCAATATTCAAACTTGTCTTTTGGAAGAATCTTCGTTAACATATTGTTCAATTTTCATCTGTATGGATCTTCTCAAGCTGCAACTGCTTCATCTGCCAGTACATCACCTGATCAATGATATCTAACATCAATGTGCTTTGACTTGAATGAAAAGGAAGGTAATTCTTCCCAAGATGAGATCGCAACTCTTGGCTATGCAGAATTCAAATATCGTTCTATGATGATTCCGAGTTCATTCAAGAAAGTTCTTCATCATAGCAACTCTTTGCATGCTTCTGTTAGTGCTTGAATTCTGCTTCACAGTTGTTGATAGAGCAATAGCACTTCTGGTAATCTTGAACTGCATGAATGGCTCCCCCTGCAAATGTGATTAGAGTATCCTGATGTGGACTTTCTCAGAGTCAGACATCCCCCCAGGCAATATCTGGCATCAGCATAACGACTAATATGGCTTCTCATTCCAAAGCATAAACATACCTTTGTTGTACCTTGAAGATCATTTTGAAAATCCATTTCACTGCAGCCCAATGTTCCTTTCCCAGATTGAAAGAAATTCGATCTCACTATTCCCGACTTGAGTGAGCAATATCTGGCCGTGTACAAGACCATGGATACATTAAGCTTCCACCTGCTGACGCAATATGGGATCTTTTCATCTCTCCTTCTCTCCATCGTAGATAGGGCCTGTTTTGAGCTTAATTTGAAGTGAATTAGTAAGCAGGATAAAAGAGGACAACTAACCGCTTTAGCATTCTCCATTTTAAACCTTTGAAGTACTTTCTCAATGTACTTCTCCTGTGACGACCATAATTTCTTGGTTCTTCAATTCCTTGTAATCTTCATGCCAAGAATCTGCTTTGCTGGTCCCAAGTCTTTCATAGCAAAAGACTTACTTAGATGTTTCTTCAAGCTATTAATTCTGACAGCATTCTGACCAACAATCAACATATCATTGACATAGAGCAAAAGAATAATGTAGTCATCATCAAAGAATTTCTTTACGAAGACACAGTGATCTGAAGTAGTCTTTTTGTAACCTTGCTCCCCCCATAACAGATTCAAACTTCTAATACCACTGTCTTGGTGCTTGTTTTAAACCATACAAGCTTTTCTTCAACTTACATACGTAGTCCTCTTTTCCTTTTCTATGAAACCCTTTAGTTGCTCCATGTATATCTCGTCTTCTAAATCACTATGTAGGAAGGCAGTCTTCACATCCATTTGCTCGATTTCCATATTAAAACTGGCGGCCATTCCGAGCAATGTCCGAATGGATGTCACTTTCACAACTAGTGAAAAAATTTCATCAAAATCAATACCCCTTCTTTGATTGAATCCTTTCACAACCAATGTAGCTTTGAATCGTGGTTGGGAGCTGTGAGCTATGTTCTTCTTGCGTGAAACTCTGAAACAAGCCACTTGTTCTTCAAAAGCTTTCTAGCTTTCGGCAACTTTTAACCACTCAAAATGTTTTATTCTTCATGCAATGATTTTCATTTCATCTTCTGGCTTCAATCCAAGTTCCTTTTGTTGTTACACTTCCACATTGCTTCTTCAAGCATATCAGGTTCTCCCGTCAGTGTTTGAGAACCTTCTGGTGCTGGTGGCTGAACATGAACACCATCAAAATCTTCTTCTGGTTCATTTTGATAAGGAACTTCTGGATTTTCTAACTCTTGCTCTTGTTCTTGTGGAACATTTTCTTCATCTGTAACATCCCTTTCCGGTCCACCCATTACTCGAATGAACCGAGCCGAGACGCTACACTCTGGTTGAACCTATGTCCTATCATGCTGATATCATCCTGTATGCTAAATATTATGTCTTTTTTATTTATTTATTTATATATAGATTGGAAAAATCCTACATAAAACTAGAAGAAGTTCCCTTTAAAAAAAATAACTGAGCTCGCCAATCATGTGAATACAAAACACTCCCAATTAAACTCCAAACTTCTAACATCTCCAAATAATCATCATCACACAATACCACTTTTATATTTTCATAACTGTATAAATCTTCAATAGCATTTAATATCCATCAATTAATGGCATTCATTATATATATCAAGTCTTAATGAACTAATCATACCAACTAGTTTACAATATTTCATATTCAACCATTGAATAAGTATTATTCTTATCTCCAATTACTTACGCCAAAATAATTACATGCATCAATTATATTTCAAATCACATAATCTCTAAAAATGTAATAATTATACATGCCATAATTCTTAATTATCTAACTCCAAACTAGTCACTTCTGCTTTGCTATTACTCTTCAAATCTTCAAGTAGTAACCACGATCTTCAATCTACGCGTGATAAAAATCGACGCGCTGAGTATAAAACTCAGTGGTGCTCATAATTCACATACTTATCAAAGTTGCGATGGCAACTTACTTAAAATACAAATTTCATAAAATCATTGATAATCATAGAATCATTAAATTTCAACATAAATTTACATGTATAGCAAAGAAATATCAAATAAACTTATAAGCAAAATATCAAAATAAACTTTATAATTATATTTATATCTATTTTATTATTTATATTTAGTTTCTAATTATTCATAACTGCCTTTACATAACATTTAATCACACATACATAGATACTTTCATGATGCTTACCTGCTGTTCATTATGCTGTAGAATTAAATAAATAAACATTGTAGCACACATCACCATTCAATCTTTTCCAATTATCTTACTTACGTTCATTATTGCGTAAACTTATGTACTTTTTAGTCAACATCGCTATAAGTGATAAAATAATAAAATCTCATAACTGTTGGCTCCATAAGGTTATAGTGAACCTAAGTGATAAGAAGAATGTATGAATATGAAACTGGATGAATACTGTATGGCTGAGCTGCTATGGCCCATATATAATCATATCCACTCAACGGCCTGTAGCTGGAGTAACAAACTGTATAGGGCGCAGATCTGCTAATCTATGTCGCGACATAGCCTTATCTACATGGTTTCTACTTAACCTCAATGGAGCATATTATATGTATGTCATTAATACAATCAACATATTAACTTATTCATGAAATGCATAAACCATACTTTTTATCTGTATGCTGTCTCATTCTTATGTTGCTAACTTGTTTCATGCTTTCATGCTTTAAAAAGGATGTCCTAGACAATTATTAGTAATATCTAATGAGTAATAATGCAAACAATTAATCACTTGTAAAGGAACTTGTTGTTAAAGGAACTTGGCATGGAAATTAATTATGACTGTTGCCAATCCCGCGGACATGCACACCGTCTTACTAATCTTTGTAAAAGTGTACTTTAATTTATACCAATCAATTAGGAAATCTATTCTTGATTTTGAATTCATAAGTTAACTTCAGAAGGAAGGTTAAATTCAGTAAATATCTTAGGCTGAATGAATCTACATATGCATCCCAACATCATGTCTAATGTAGCCTTGAAATCTGCCAAGGCTGCCTGTACATGTTTCACAAATACTAGCAGAACTCTATCTTCATAAGTCCAATTTAGGTAATTCAAAATTCTATGGTTAGATAACACATTAGGGTACAAATATGTCTTATAGCATATCT